TCTATTCGCTCAACAGTTCACACCCTTCCATTGTAAATTCTATTTCAGTGTTGTTGCGTTCCAAAACCTAAATGGTCGTTGAATGAAACCATTGATATTTGTTTAAAAGTTTTTGCCGCCGAAGGCGGCCGCGCTTGTGACCATTTAAAAAATAAAACTCTTGTGCGTAAAAAGTACTATAAGAAAATGTTTAAATGATATATCAGACTTCTTAGGTCAGTTGTAATTGTAAAGTTCTCACTTTTCGCGAAGCGAAAATTTTTTTTTTCACTTTATATCTTGTTTGATATAGACTTATTTAGTTCAGCACTTTTTGCCAAAGAGTTAGTAAGCTTCTACTTCATGTCTGTTTTTGCCCTTTTTACTAGTGAAAATAACGAAAAATTTCAAGTATTGTGGCAGGGGGGGGGCGTACTACATAAGCAATTTTTCAAACCAGGGGGGCGTTGCCATAGAGAATTTCAAAAGCAGGGGGGGGGGCGTAACGCCCCATGCGCCCCCCCTACTGACGCTCCTGTTTCTATGTAGCAACACTAATCTAATTGCTTAATTCAAATATCAATTCGCCTAGTCTGTTTGACCCCTAACAAAAGAAGTCTATATATATATATATTGACTTTTCGAATGTGCAACAAAAACAGATAAATGAAAATAAATATGAAATACTCATGTGTCGAATTGAATGATTTACCGGATGAAATTCTTCTACTTATTTTCAAAAAACTGGACAATCTTGAAGTACTTTATTCTTTTCAAGGAGTCAATGAACGATTGAATAAAATTATACATGATCCAATATTTACAAGTCGTTTAAGCTTTCTCAAATGGTCATTCAATAAATGTATCAATAAATTTTCTTCTCATATAATACTTAATCGATTTTGTTTACAAATTTTACCTAAAATTTATACGAAAATCAAATGGCTGGATCTTGTATCTGAATATATGAAAAACATTTTAGATGCTGCTGATTATCCCAATTTATTTGCACTCGGCCTATATAATATCGAAGAAAAGACAGCTATATGTCTTTTTACTAGTAAGGAAATCTGAATGGAATTGCATTAATTCTAATCAAAGTAAAGATATGCATACTTTGAAATTATTAATACAGATGAATAGAACTTTGAATATATTACATAAACTTCATTTCTAATTTACGTTTAACTATGAAACTGTAAAAGAGAAAAATCGATTACACAAATTGATATAAACAAAAATAAAACAGAAAATATTTTTAATGAGTAGAAAATAATATTTAAAAAATAATGATTATTACTCCATAATAAATTTATTATGGACTATGTTTAAAGGAGAGATTATTTCTAAAAGAAAAATTCCTTTCTATCTAAGATTATCTTAGTCTTTTGACTATTTGTCTTAATCTTTGATATATAATGAGTATATGTAAAGATGATTACATTGTTTAATATTATCTATATGTATAGATGAAAGGCTTGCATCTTCTATTTTTAAAAATCAAATTACAACACTTATCATTGGTATTGATCCTGATAAAAATGAACGGTCGACAATGACAAACATATGTAATCATATTTTTACTGTGTTTATCAATTTAAACCATTTAATATTTTATGATGCCTCATATAAAAATAATGTTCGATTATTATTTAATATTCCATCTCCTAGTTTTTCGTCTTCATCTCTTTTGGTATTAAATATCAAGGTTCAAACTTTTGATGTGTGTCTTTATCTTCTCGATGGTCGTTTCGAACAACTTCGTACACTCTATATTGAATTGGCTAAAATTTTTTCTCCATCAGGAGAAATTGAAAATCAAGTTAATTTTACAAGAAAATAAATTTTATTTTATTTTTGTTTCTCTAGAGGAAAATCCCAAATCTGAAGTGTTTTGTTTTGTCTTGTGCTTTGCAAACATCGCATTATGATGAATTAATTCTACCACTTCTTTATCGAATGTCAAATTTAGAAAAACTTCGTTTAGATCTCACGGTTAATGTTCAAGGAACATTTATTGATGGAAACAATTTGAAGGGAAATATTCTTAATCATATGTCACAATTAAATCAATTTACATTTGATATTCGTTCGTTTATGTGTATTAATAATCAAATGAATTTACCATCGAAAGAAGACATTCAACGAACATTCAATGATTTTCAATATACTAAAATAATATCTTGTGTTGATTATTTTCTAGAGCCGTATAAACACGGTCAATGTCATATTTATTCATACCCATTTTTAATGAGATGTTTCGAAGATATAACAAATAATTTTCCAGGTGGATTGTATCCATATGTTCGCGTTGTATCATTATATGATGAATATCCTTTTGAACATGACTTTTTTATTCGAATTGCTCAATCATTTCCATTTATGGAAAAATTATCTATCGATAATCGTTATTCACAAAATCAGAAAGAATCTTATAAATTAATGAATGATAAATCGAATTTATCAATTGCTAAATATTATTATCTTAGTGAACTTCGTATAGATCGAGCTCATGATGATTATATTGAAGAATTTCTATGTAATACGAAAACATATTTACAAAATAATATTCATCTTGATATCGATTATGAACCATTAGAAAGAGTAACACATAATTTTACAAGAGATGATACACGAATTAATTGT